CTCTCCCTATCCCATACCCATCTAATTCACTCTTAAAATCATCAACAGTACTCATTTCTACTGGCTTCCTTGAACTAATCTCCAGACTCATCATCCTGTGCATAGGCTGTTAAACTTAAACTGTCTGTTCACCTTCCCTCTCCTGAGCTTGAGACCATGACCCCTTGATGTGGACTTGACTTTGTCAACCAGATTATATGAGTTTAGCTCATCTAGTATCTAAAAACCGACAATAAAATGGGTCTTTAATCTAATTGTCAAATTCACTGTAATTTAGAGAAAAATGCAGATAAAACTTGAGCTCTAATTAGGTCATAAAATGGGCTGGAACTGTGTAGAAAATTGTGTCCTGGTTATACAGCAGCACACTGTAGGATTAGAGGCCTGAAATTCCACTTACTTTGAGCGTGTAACCATTCTGTGTTAGAATTTAAGACAGCACAGAACTGAGCTCAATTCTCAAATTGTGTCTCATCCCAGAAGCCCTTTTTTCTTAAAGCTCAGAGAAAAGCCAGATACCAAATTAAGACTGAATTTAAGATTTGTTCACAATGTTGGGCAATCTTAAATTTTTAAGACAAAATGGTCTGGAAGGTTCAGACTAGGTAGAATTTTTAGGCTTCTTGAGGGCAATGGGATGAGGCTGCAAATGTTATATTGCTCGTTAGGTGTTAGGAAAAGCAGAATAATAATGATAACCCTTGCATTTAATATAGCACCTTATCACATTAATGAGACGTCTCGAAGCGCTTCACAGGATATACTATATAGTGGAGTGACTGTTTAAGAACACAACCAAAGGCATGAACCCTGCGTCAATTGACTGTCATGTTTCTAAAGTCACAGAAAAGCTAATGATGGGAAATTTCCAACACTGGAAATTTATACAGTACTTTTTCACTTCTTCAGCATGCCACCCAAAGGTGAGGACTTTGGTCGTAACTGTTCAGTATATTAGGGCATCATTGCTCATTGGCAAGGCTGTGGTCATTCTTAGGCTGATTTGGTTACTGAGGGGAGCCAAAGGATCTGGGTGGACTGTAGTGCCCAAGTAGTTTGGAAAAGAGGTAGACTTTGGGGAATTGGTTGATCATTAGTCCTTTGCAATTACATGGAACACTGGTGGAGGATGCTGAAGTGCAGGATTGAGAGAGTGAGCACATAGAAAGGAGGCCCATATCTCCTGCTGCTGTCTTACAACAGGCACAACAGCCTATGTACCATCTGATCTGCCTGGAAGATGTTTGGCCCACGTTCCTGGTAAGATGAAGAGACTGGGTGCTGAACTTTAGCTCATCAAACAACAACAGCTTGTATTTATATAGCACCCAGAGCTCTTCCATGGGATTCAGCTTCTCTCTACTAAGAATGTGTCCTGCCTGAACACACAAATGGCAAGGGATCATTGCCCAGTTGGCAGTAGCTGAATGTGAATGGGGTTGGATCCAGAGGGTCGAAAGGAAGAGCAAGACCAATTATGGTATCCTTGGCTTTTATGATCTTTGCCTAGAGCTATGTGAAGTATGCCCTGCTGGCTGCACTTACACCAGTATCGATCGGCTTGGGCGAGGTACATGTAGTGGAGAACTGAGATGTCCCTCTTTCATTTTGGTGCATGTGGAGATTGCAGGGGATTGGCTCAGAGACGTTTAACTTTCCATTCTTTATGTGGGAGGCCAGACAAGGATTGTTATCCACCTAGGTGACTGTGAAGCAACAGAACTGAGCCCAATCCAATTCTCCACAGAGGTCTGCACACTTTCCAGAAGTACTGCACTGCTGCCAAGTTAATGTAGGGATCACAGAATCATATAGCGCAGAACGAGGGCATTCGGCCCATTGTGTATGCGCCGGTTCCTTGAAAAGAGCTATCCAAATCAATTCCCTGCTCTCTCCCCATAGCCTTGCAAGCTTGTCCTCCCCAATTAATTATCTACTTCTCTCTTAAAATTTGTTATCAAATAGGCTTCCACCATCATTTCAGGTAATGTATTCCAGATCCGAACAACTCAATGCGTGAAAAAATTTCTCCTCCCCTCCCCTCTATTTCTTTCACAACTATTTTAAATCAGTGTTCTCGGGTTACTGACCCACCAGCCAGTGGAAATAGTTTCTCCTTGTTCATCCTATCGAATCCCCTCATAATTTTGAAAACTTTTATTAAGTCTCCTCTTAACCTTCTCTGCTCCAAGGATAATAATCCCAGCTTCTCTAGTCTCTCCTGATAACTGAAGTCATTCATTCCTGGTACCATCCTGGTAAATCTCCTTCGCACCTTCCCCAATGCCTTGACATCCTTCCTAAAGTGTGGTTTCCAGTACTGAACCCAGTACTCTGGCTGAGGCCTAACCAGTGTTTTAAAAGGTTTGTCATAACTTCCTGACTTTTGTATTTTATGCCCCTACTTATAAAGCCTAGTATCCTGTATGCTTTTTTAAACAGCTTTATCTACCTGTCCTGTCACCTTCAAAGATTTACTTATATGAACCCCCAGGTCTCTGCTCCTTCACCCCCTTTAAGATTGCACCATCAGCTTATATTGCCTCTCCTCATTCTTCCTCCCAAATGCATCACTTCACATTTCTCCACATTAAACTTCATCTGCCACATATCTGCCCATTTTACCAGTCTGTCTATGTCCTCTCATAGTCTGCTACTATCCTCCTCACTGTTTACTACTTTTCCTAGCTTAGTATCTGCAATCTGCAAACTTGGAAATTGTACTCTCTATAGCCAAGTGCAGGTCATTTACATAGATCAAAAACAGCAGTGGTTCCAATACCGACCCCTGGGGGACACCACTGCATAGTTCCCTCCAGTCAGAAAAACAACCTTTCACCACCACTCTCTGCTTTCTGTCTCCGAGCCAGTTCTGTATCCATGGTGCCACTGTCCCTTTAATACTGTGGGCTTCTATTTTGCTTACAAGTCTCTTATGTGGCACTTTATCAAACTCCTTTGGAAAATCCATATAAACTACATCAACTGTACTACCTTCATCCACCTTCTCCATTACTTTATCAAAAAGTGATTAATATTTGAAGTCCTGGCTCAGGGATAGAGAAGCAAAAGTATAGCTGCTCTTACGTCCTAGCTGGGATCAGCATAAACCATGGCTGGACACTGGTACTATTTAGATCTGTACAGCTGTTTCACACTAGACAATGGGTTTCTACCTACTTAAGTCCGTGGAGTGGACAGCAGTTACCAGCAGCTATTTCACTGAGCCATGAGCTCAATTCAATGCATCGTGGAGACCAGTGGGTCAAAGCAATGAATCTCAAAAAATATCCCTTTGACCTTGTAAAGCGGGAGTTAAAGTTGCTAAAGTATTTCCAACAGTATCCGAATGCATCAAAATCCTATTCCCAAACCGGCTGCCATCATACAGCAGCACTCACATTGCAGCCATTTAAACCTGCCCCATTAGTCATGGCCTTGATCACTCCAATTAGAGGCTTTAGTTACTGAGCCTAAAACGCTCTTTTGCCTTGAAATGAGCTAAAGACGGGTTAGTGGCTCGTGTAGTATGAACTGCAACAAATGAGTCCTTGTTTACTGACTCGAGTTCCAATTAGTCAAGCTTATGAATCTTCCTTTTAAAGCCAATGTCAAGTCAGCAAATTGGCACCCTTGTGACAAAAATAAAGCTTGAACCTATAGTGAACTAAAAGTATTTGTCACAGCTTCCAATTAGCTACCCCTAGGTCTGGAAATGTTCACAACGCCATCGCCAGGAAGGTTATAATTTTAGTTTCATTTCACGTGCCAAAAACTATACTGGTTTTAATAGTCAGGCTTGTGGTTATGATGCACTCAACAGTCCAGCAATTAACATATTACGCAATCTGTGACAGCTGGTCTTTAGCGAGTGAAGTAATACCCACAGGAATGAAGCAGTGGTATGCGTGGTTTGCCACGAGAGGGCACTGTTCAATCCCATTGGGAAATTGGTCAATTTCAGCTAGTACTTGCGTCAACAAGCAGGCTACAGCAAGAACTTGCCAGCATATCTTACTGAAGGAGAGAGACAGAGTTTAAAAATCAACACTTCAATCTTGTCAAACAAACACTGCAAGATTTGCCCTGAACTTCGCATTCACAAAGTTATTTTTCACTTCCACACAATATTATTGAAAACTGCAACAAAAGATTTGCTCATTTTCTATATTCCACAATTTTCAATGGGTTAAAATAACAAAATGTCCCAAAAACATTAGCTTTATCGGTTGGCACTATTCTCCAGCAGTATCACCCTGCTTTCAGATTATTGCAAAGAGGAATAAATGTTTGACGAAAACAGAGAGAGCTGGGAAAACTCAGCAGATCAGTCAGCATCTATGGAGAAAGGAAGATGAATCAACGTTTTGGGTCCACAACCCTTCGTCAGAACTGGGGCATGTTGGGAGGGAGTGGTTTTTAAGGACAAGTTGAGAGGGGGAGTTAGGACAAGGAAGACAAAGACGACAAAAAAGACAAAGGAGAGAATGTGTTAGTTGATGGGTTAAAGATGTGATAGTGGCGTACAACAAAAGGGGGGGCGGGTTGAAACAAAACAAAACCCACTCTACATTCTTCCCATCAAGCTACTTTGAGTCCAATGCCCTGGCCTCAACTATACTTCTTGGCAGCCCTAATTAGCCTCTGAGAAAAGAAAAATACCCTGGTGTCTGAACTGAAATTGCCTTTTACAACTCTAAACTTCTGCTGTCTAATACATTGTTCTGGATTTACTTTTTCAATCCCATTTGAAATTTTATGTAGCTGTATAAGGTCCTCCTTCGAAGACTCAGCAGAATGGCCAGAACCTCTGTAATCAAGCTAGAATGTCCCATCATTATTTTGCTTATGTTGTCAAATACTGCATTTCAAAAATAGTCCCTTTAAAGGAAAATCCATTCTACTTTAAGAGTGCAGATCAAATTTAACACAATTTTAAAGTTCAGATGTAAAGTTAAAAAGATAGTCTGTCACTTATCACTTTTAAAACAAAACAGTACCTAATAAAGCTGTCAGTTTGGGCAGCAGCCCCACTTGTACCATCTTGTTCCTAAGGCCGGTGTCAAATGACAGGTTCAGCAGTAAGCGAAGGGCAATGTTCAAAAGGTCTTCATGTTCGCAAGGCACCAACTTGGCCAACTTGTCAATGATGTTCAGCTCCACCTGTGGGTAAACAGGACCAAGATAATGAACATAGTTTTCTTATGGATAAGATTCTCTAGGGGAAAAAAAGTACAATATTAATAAGACTGGAAATCTTTTCTGCGCATTGAGTGGCGTGGCTCAGCAATGGCGCACATTCCCTCAACAACCGAGGAGGAGGGTTCACCAAGTAGTGGGGTTCACCACTATTTACTTTTAAATAAAGACCCATTATCAGAGTTCTGCGCACATTAGTTTGACAGCTACCAATTAATGAGATGAAGAGTGGCAAGTATAAGCCAGGCTTCCCACTTCACATTTGTTCTCCTGCTAGGAGTGATAGAATTTTGATCTTGCAAAGCCAAGAAAATGGTGGTGTAATACAATCCTCAAAGTACTCAAGAGTTTCATTGCAGAGTTCAAGAAATAAATACTTTGTCATACATCTGTGTAAATGACTGAGAATTCTGAACAGTCATTGTGCAGACTAAAGGAAAACACCTGGCACCTTGCATTTCTTTACTCACTGCGATTGTAGGTTTATTTTCCTACAGCCTTCAAAGGGTTAAAAAGCGCCACATCATCTAATTCAGTGCCACACAAACAGTTGAGGATTCAGACACCTGAAAAGCAAATGTTCTGTGGCGAGGGTTAAGGTGGCTAAAAATATAGTTTTCACAACAGGAGTTTGATCAAGTCTTTGCAGGAGAAAGATCAAACGCTTTTTTATGATTGTGAAAAAAATACACTGTATATTGTACAATATACTTGTTAAATGATGCCAGGATTTGGTAACAATAAATGAGCAGCTAAAGTACATCTGAATTTGCTTTTCCTCAAAAGCAAAAGTGTAGAGCAAGCATACGTTAGGGGAAAAATCTTTTCCCCTAAAAATCCTCCCAGAGCACACACCTTCCCTGAGGGTTATCTTAAATCATAGTCAAAATTCACAAACAAGAACTAATACATTTGTTATCAAAATTGTTTATAACCAGGATATTTCAATGGATTGCAAAATAATAGTTTATTAAGAGGCAGCATTTTTAATTGCATAAAATAAAAACAGACAAGTATAATCAATAGTGGACTTCCTCGATGACTCAATTGGTCCAGCCATCGCTTAAGAGTGGAGACATACAGTCTACGAAGGTCCCAGGTTCAAATCCTGTTCACTGCTAGAACTCTTAAGTGGCTTATTCTAGCTTTGTAGCTGGGGAACTTTAATGGGCTTCAGATGAACACTAGGAAAAACGGCTTGTGTGCATGGGCAGGGTTGAGATTGGTTGTATTGTTAGCCAACACTGCCGACAGTCCCAGCCCTCGTCATTTGGTCGAGGTATAAGAGAAATACTGAAAGAAATTAAAAAGTCAAGAACTGATAGAGGGCGACATGCACTTCAGAAGAACTGAGAAAGTAACGCACGAGTCCTGTAGCTCAGTGGTTAGAGCACTCGCTTTGCAAGTGAGAGACCTGAGTTCAATTCCAGGCAGAGGGCGAAACCTTGGGCAAGTTTCCTTACTCCATACGTCTAATAATAATAATCCCTCCAAAATAACAAAAACAATAATAAATTGGTCATTCTCAATCTACGACTGTTTGTGGGACATTGCTGTGCGCAATTGGCTGCCGCGTTCGCCCACAAATATACAGTCAATTCACTTTACAGTATATTCTGTGAAGTGCTTTGGGATGTCTAGAAGACGTGAAAAGTGCTATATCACATGCAAGGTTTATTATTATTAAATAGCACTCAGTTTTTAAGAACTAAATGAACTGCATGACAACAGGAATTCGCACTGGGTATTCCACAAACATCAATGCAAGACCACACTCCAGCCGTACTTTACTTATCCTTTATCATCTTCTATTTATTCAATATTTTCAAAAATACTCAGAAGCAAAATGTTTTTTTTATACCAAATAAAATCCAAACATAACTTTTCCGAAAGGCCTAATGCGTAGAACAAAGCAAATAAAAATAATTCTCCAGCTTGTTCAAAGGGCAAATACATGGTGCTGACTAGTTAGTGGGAAATGGACAGTGCAATTTACATCAAGCACTAATTTCAAAGTGTATGCTAGCAGCTCTCTTCCTGCTCAAGGGTTGTATCTCTTGCAAGAATGCCACAAGTAGTGATAATCCTTGTACCTTCCGCTGAATTAATTAAAATGTGAAACACTCAAATGCCAACTCTAAAAAATATACTTCTGAACTGTCCCGCCAAGGTTCTGATTTATACTTTGCTGGACAGGTAAAGAAACCAAACCTGCAAGTTCATTCATCATTACATTGCCATCATTCTTTCAGTAACATGAATTAGCTCTTTTCATTGTCATCTTAAATGTGCACGACAAAAGCAGCTTCTTTTATAGCTGAATAGCTCTGACCTGGAGAAAAACACTACTGTCACATACTCTGTTCAATAGCCAGAACCAAATTCGCACCAGATGTAATTTTTAATTTACTGCATTGTTATACACTATGTGCAAATCTAACTCAGGACCAGATAGAAAAAGATTGCAAGGCAGCTGTTCTGAGTCAGAACAACCTGCGGAATCTTCTCCAACAAATACACACTGCAGAGAAACAGACTGGCTTTGTAATTCTGCTCCATTCTTAAAGGAATGCTGTACATACATTCACCACATTAAAAACTACTCTATTAAAACCAACTTTTGACTAAGATGGGTTAAAATTGAACATACTGTAACTTTCATTTTCGTGTGCTGTATTAAACCCGTGGGTCTAGAGTAATGCACTTATTTACCTGCAGAACAATATTTGCTGATGCATATATAAAAAAATTGGGAATTTACCTAGTTAAACTTATGGACCAATAAGAGTTTAAAGGAAAGCAGTTGTTTTTAAATCGGTAAGCCTGAGGCTGAATGCAGTAAATTGCCAGTACTCAGCTATTCACCATTCCCCACTTTAATTCAATTACAAGTTTTTACTTTGTTCAATCTCAATCTACAGCAGTGAATTCTGCATCACGAGTTCACAGGTGCATTGAAAAGCAAATTCAGAACTTGCAAGGATGCCCCACATGCTAGGGTCCATGTACAGATCATCTGGGTCTAACCTGAAACATCTGCGTGTCCAAATCACTTCTCCTACAACTCAATTTCAGCGCTAAACAGTGTTTAATGCCTTTACAGGTTTTTCTTGGTGCAAAATCATTAGGCTAATGACAAGACCCATTGAGGAAAAGCTGGATTTAATTACATTTGAGTTAAGATTCAGCACATCATTGCAAAACATTTAGGGTGTTCAAAATAGTCCTGTGTAATCCAAATGTGTAATAAAATGTTTTACATTTTAATGCCCCCCAGGAACAAAAAATTAGAAAGCATGTGACAATTACTCTTAATGTACTTTTAATGCTCAAGGTTATTAATGTTTAATAAGTAAACTGCATTTAAAACTTTGGTTAACATAAAACATATGGGAAGCATAATAGAAACTCCCATTTGTTTTACAATCCTCAGTGGCCTGAAATTAAACTCCGGCACAGTGAAAAACTTAAATCTCTCGTCTCTCATCTCCTAGTTATGCCCAGTATATATGCTCCATTTGGCAAGCACTGCACATGAGGCTCCACTATTGTTAATTATAAAATATGAAGCTGATTAATCAGCTTTCAGTCAAAGTACAGCCAGCTCGGTTGCCAACGTGCCAACGAACAAAACGAATAAAGACTTCCCTTGACACCAACATGCAGTTAAATGCATGAAACCTAAAATGAGCAACTTCATTAAAAACTATTTGTACAGAATTAACATTTTCCCCAAGGTTTTATTTTCAACTCATGCTTTCAAGCAAAAATGCCTTATCGATATCCGCAGCCATTAATCATTTTTGACCAAATTTCGGTCCAAAATACAAGCAAACAGCATGGCTCCTTTGGAGGGTCATGGTGAAATGCACAAATCATGGCTTGTAAACAGTTAAGAAGTTCGCCATAATTCAACACTAAACAAACCTGCATTGAGTGAAGTGGCAAGATTTGAAACAACTGTTCACGGTTCAGCTTTGATGAATGTTTGAGGTACACACGTAGGGATTACTTCCAGGTGTGACTTTTCAAAAACTTCCAAAGCTGATTAGAAAAAAGTTTGAAATGGCTGGAAAATTTATGAGTTACATTAACATGATATGTCCTCCCCCCTGCGCACTAAAAACTATAACATTTCACTTGCATTTAAATAATGTCCAAGAAATGAAGGTGACATTATTCTCCATGTACACAGGAAAAATGTTACAGTCCTGTACAAAAGCTCTTAATCCTGAAAACTAGTATGTCTGCTTGAGACAGGAAAAGGTCCAGTGGGCCCCAGTTGTCTAGAAGCTGATCTGGAGCTGTAACTCTCCCCTTCACAACCTCTGCCCGCACACTCCATACATGTAGCACTAAATAATGTATTGAATAATGTAGAATAAAATATTCTACGCAGAATGCCCTAAAGCCCAGTGAATAAATACACTATGTAATGTAGTCCTGAACCATTGTATTGGGCAAACCAGGTAGATCCCATATTTGATTATCTGTTTGGGAATACAGCACTGGAATATGCACCCACACAATGACATACGCTCAGTCAATAGGCCTACCCCTCCCAACACTCAATGCCCAATTATATGTGATACTCATGAAGTCAACACTTGGGTGAGGTTTGGGAGGTTTTGAGAAACCATCAAACCACATTTGTCTTTATAAGAGATGTAAAAGGGAGAGCATTAAAGGAAAAAATCAGCGAATTTTTTTTTAAATAAAGTTTTCCTAACTATGATCTGTACAATGGCCCATTAAATTTTGTTTGTTAAATCTTCCCACTTCATCATACCATCCTTCGAGCAGCCAAGAGAAGGCCACAAATTGATACACAATTTCGCTAATATAAGGTGAAGTGCATTCATTTACCCAAAAGAATTATCATAACCTCGTAATTCTGTTTTAAAACTACTGAAAATCATAACCAAGCTCACAGCAAACTGAAGACCATACGAGATTCGCTTCTTTAGGAGCCTAGAAGTGTAAATAACATATTTGATATTCATGTTAGCTTAACTTCACGAACGCATTACAAATTCAGTGTAATCCTACATAAAATGCTTGGTTTTAATGTTAGGAATTGCTATAGGAGAGCTTCCGAGGAGAGTTAGCCTACCATGTCATTTTTATTTTCCACAAAGACACTGAGTTTCTTCAGGAATGACACCACCAAGATCAGCAGCTCAGAGTTCTCTCGGTCCAAGGACTTCACGAGCATGTGGACAATGTTCTTGTTCCTCATTTTCAGTTCAGTCCTTGTGTCTTCAGCCAGATTCAATAGCAGATAGAACGCCACTGATGGAGAGTACGCACAAGTTAAAAAAAGAGGAAACACAAGGTTTCTTTAATAAACTAACATGCTGGTACTAATGCTGGATCATAAATAAACATGCTTATTGCTATAATTAATATAACAGAACTGCATACATCCATGCTTAAGTGGCAAATGAGGCTTGATTCAGTTTTTTAAAAAAGATAGCTCCCATAGAAATGTACAAGTCAGCAACATTAGTCAGTCAGTCAGATTCATTCTAAATTCTTAACTTCACAAATTTCAAAGCTGCTTTTCTGCAGAAAAAGACTGGTTTCTAAATTAAAACTGAATTTAAGACTTATCCTTAATTCTGCACAATCTTACATTTTAAGAGAAAATTGTCTTTATATGCATGTTAAGACTAGGTGGAATTCTGAGCCTCATAAGTAGACAACATTGGAGGAAAGGGAAACAGATGCAATGCACTCACGTTTTGCAGAACATCTAAACATACCGGCAATGCTTACCTCTCAACAGTTGCTCCTGTTTGATGACTAAACCTTGGTATTTCTTGCACGTCTTCTCATACTCTTTCTTCAGCATTTGGTTTTCAGCCTCATCGTCAGGTGAACAACTAAAAGTCAAGGAATCTAGAGGTTCTGAAAGCAATTGGATTCAACCACTGCCATTAAGTACATTTTTCCATCTTAAATGTGGAAAATATTACTTACAAATAAAACAATTTCCATTAATTAAAGCATTTGAATTACATTCAGATTTGTGTACATTTGAGAAAAAAACACTAATGTATATCAACTGCTCATAGCACTTTACATCCATTAATTCTTGTTGTATCATCTGTAGATAGCTGTCCACAGGAGTGTGAGAAAACATGCACAGGATATTAGTTTATTAGTTATGCCAAGGCCGAACTGTGTTTACCGAAATAACTACGAATTCTACCAAAAAATAGCAAAGCCAAGTTCTCAAAACGTAACTACATGAGAAAGTGCTTTCAAAGTGTGGCACCTGCTGACCTACAACAACAACAACAACAAGATTCCATTTATAAAGCGCCTTTCACGTCAGGAGGACGTCCCAAGGCGCTGCACAGTTGGGTCATGACCCGAGCAGGGGGGAAATGGTCAGGGTGAGGGGAGGGAAGGGAGGGAGCGAGGAGGGGGAAGAGAGTCGAGAGGGGAGCTGAAGGCACGGTCAAAGAGAAAGGTTTTGAGACCGGCCTTGAAGGAGGAAAGGGAGGAGGCGGCGAAGGCACTGGGGGATGGAGTTCCAGAGCCTGGGGGCTGAGAGGCTGAAGGCCCGACCACCGATGGTAGGGCGGTTGGGGCGGGGGACGTGGAGCAGACCGGAGCCAGAGGAACGGAGGGTACGGGCAGGTAGGTAGGGGGATAGTAGGTTGGAGAGATAGGAGGGAGCAAGGCCGTGAATGGCCTTGTAGGTGAGGATGAGGATCTTGAAATCAATCCTCTGGGGGATGGGGAGCCAGTGGAGGCGAGCGAGGGTGGGAGTGATGTGGTCCCGAAGCCTGGTGCGGGACAGTACACGAGCTGCAGAGTTCTGAATGACCTGCAGCTTGTGGAGGGAGGTGGCGGGAAGGCCGGCGAGGAGAGAGTTCCCATTGTCCAGCCTTGAGGTGACAAAGGCGTGGACCAGGGTTTCAGCAGCGTGAGGGGTGAGGTAATGGCGTAGTCTAGTCTGACCTAATTTAATTTGCAACTTTGAATATTTTATACAAGACAGAAACACAACAGCTCGTAGTTCACAAGAGCCCACAAGGATGAAAATATTGGTGACTTTTAGCAGAATTTATAATATAATCCTTACATTTGTATAGCGCCTTATCAAGTCGGAAGAATGTCTTGAAGCGCTTCGCAGGATTTACTGTGAAACTGGATTGACTGTGTATTTTTTGGGTGAAACGCGGCAGCCCAATTACACAGAGCAACATCCCACAAAACAGCCATGAAATGAATGACCAATTTTATTTGGGGGATTGTTGGCCAGGACACCGGGAGAAACTCCCTTCTCTGTTTGAATAGTGCTGTGCGATCTTTAACATCCACCTGAACAGGCAGACGGGAACTCAGTTTAACGTCTCATCCGAAGGACGGGAAACTAGCTGAAACTGTAGCTTGTTGAATTGATTGTACTTTCTTCCACATGACAAAGGATATCGGCTTTCTTCTTCTTCTGCAGTTCATCTTGCCATAGTTCATGTCTCTTCAGCTCATGGTCAATAATGTTCATACACAGCGCACCAATTTTGTAGTGAGTAATTAATCCATGAAACTGAGTAAAACTGCAAGAAACAAGATAGGAAGAGATATACAAATTGCAGGTACTGATGGGCCGCTTCAGAGCTTCATTCTGGAGTACTCCTCTAACAAACATACTAAGTTTCATGTCACCAATATTGTAATACTGGAACAATTCTTGACATTCATCAACTTTATATGATTTGGAATTAGAAAGAAAGAATATGCAGTTTTACAGGATTTATTAGGTCAAACTGTCTTGAAAGATCTTCACAAGTAATTACTAACAAGACTATTATGGAAGCAAACACCGAAGCCAATTACACTATCAAAGTCCCACAAACAAGAAAGCAAGAGGATTGCTGGCCAGGACACTGAGAGAAACTACCTTTCTTTTTAAATAGTGTCAAGTAATCCTTGACATCTTGAACAGATGGACATCATTCCCCCAGCACTGCACTGTTGGGGCAACCTAGACAATGAGCTCAAATATCAACTTGGGGCTTAAACACAATCTTCTGATGCAATTCAACTAAAATTGACATTCATCAAAAAATAAGTATGATGTATTTCCTGCAATAATAATCCTTGTATTAATCACTTTGAAGAGTTTTTCTGTAACGCTTCATGATTGTACCGTATTTGTTGGCAAACACAGCAGCCAATTAAGTTAATCCCACAAACATCCCATGAAGTTAATGACCTATTCTGTATTGGAGGGATTGTTGGCCTGGACACTGGGAGAAATTCACTTCTCTTTTTGAACAACAACAAATTGCATTTATATTGCGCTTTTCACGTCATAAGATGCTGGATCCACCTAAACAAGCAGACGGAACATCAGATCAGAAGAACATTGGACTGTCAGCCTGGACTATAAACTCAACAATTTGGGCTTGAACCGACAACCTTCTAAATCAGATGTGAGAATGCTACTACCTGAGCACTGAGCCAGGCTAATGCTCTAATCCAAAAGATATGAAGTAGCAAAAGGGCTCTCTGGTGGTACACAGCAAAGCAGGTCATACTTTCAAAGTTCATCTCACCTTGAGAAGCAGAAAAATATGTATATAATGTTTGTAGCAAGCTCCGCACTTTGTTTCCAATCTTCCCTCAACACTCTGGCCAAAGCTCCCAGTGCAGTCTCTGTAAAAATACATTTTAATTTGTATTAATCACAGTGGGAAAACTCAATCCTCCAGCACGCATTAAACACTTGGATTAATTTTGTTTATCAGATGGGCACTATTATTAGTATTCAAAACATTATTTGCATCTGGAAAATGTTAGAAACTTTTATTCGACTTAAACTACAGTCCAGCTGCCCCGAGCATGTTGAGAAGCAAATCAAATCAAAACCAATGAAGGTAAAGCAACAATCAACTTGTGCAAAAGCTCTGGGAATTGTTAGAAAAACAGTCAAAATATCACATAAGTATATAGATACAAAAAATTTCACTGTAAAAATAAATGCCAAACACAGCTGGAGAATGCTCGCATTTTCCTGTGTTCTGGAGGAGACAGAATGCTTATGGACTGACGTACAATGTACTGACAGCTCCTTGCAGGTCTCTTGTTTGAATGGATTTGAGAAGAAGTCACTGGTTGAGTGAAAATTCAAAAAAATTCCAAGTGGTACAGGGCTTGATTGAACCCATTAACATGCAAGGGGTTAAGGTCTGATGTGATCAACTGAAATCCTTTTGCTTTAACAACGATTTGCATTTCTACATCTCCCTTCAACGGGGCAGTGCCTCAGAGCACTTAAATGTTTCTGGGAGAAATATTGTGGAAAAAGCAAAGTAATCGTATTTCATTTACAAAAGGTGGAACATTGCAGATAGATAAAGCATGAAGAGAGGAGACAAAGGATGACATGACAATGAGAAGCAATTTAGCTCCTTGCAGAGAAGGAGGAAGGTTGAGAGTAAAGGCAACACAAGTTGGCAATGGGGATGAAATTTTAAGAGGGTCGGGGAATTTTTAATCTTACCATTTTGTAACAATTCTTCCAAATTGTCAGGATTGCGTGCCAGCTGCAGAATGAGTGCTGAACCTCGCACTTTGTCAGGAATATCCTCATACAACAGTTCTATGTAGTCATCGATATCATTGATATTTGCTATCTCATCAATCTGTGGAAAGGAGCACAAGAATCATGCAGGACAACCCAGTTAACACTTCAGGAAATGTAACTCAAGCCATGTTCAATGATCGTTGAGTCATTGAGTTATTTGATAAGTTTGTGACTAGCTTGTAATTCAGAAATACACTCGTGACTAATTTCAGCATAATTTCATATACAGCACAAGAAGCTTCTCAAAAACTCCAGTGAGTAGATACACAATCTAATATGAACAGCATTGCACTGAGCCATGCAGGCCAACGGTTCAATTCCCACACTATGCCAAGTTACCCAATTTCAACAAGGGAGGTGGGACGGTACAATTAGCTTGAGGACTATTGAGCTGGAGGGGTGGGGGTGAGGGTAATCATTGAATTAAAATCAACCAGGGTTTCGGCTCTTAATCGGAATGACCTCACCTGAAAATACACATGTAATCAATGGTTCAGTACAGCACTGCTCTTGACTGTGCTGCCTTCCATGTCAGAATAGTCTCATACACTCATCACACACAACGGTTCACACACAAAGAATGGCCACTTGAACAAGCGGATGGTGGGCAGCAGACATGCATGGAGCCACATATCAGCGAGAGTCGGTGCCACCCCGGGAAGAGATGTGGGGAGAAAATTAGAGAAAAAAATATTGTATGATACGAAAATGGCCCATATTACAGCCAAAGTTTGGACTTTGTTACCAGTCCAGCAAACTTTTGTCACCAATCCAGTGTTTGAATTCGGAGAGTTGCTAATGTGCTTGTGCTAGCCAAAAGTGGCTCAGTTTGCTAATTGAAGAAAGTAAGTACTGGCACTGGTCTGAGAGGAGAAGCCATAGCAGAGTTTCAGATCAAAGAACATATTAGCAGCCACTGGTGTTCATTAGTGTTATGCAGGAAATTAGTTGTGGTGGTTTATAATCTGGTTTAAAATTAAACCTCAATTTGGAACTGATTTGCAATCATTAATATCTCATCTGTTTTGCACTGTATTCCTTACACTGCGTTCTGCATGCATTTGATTCCAGCACTGTTTTTACGAAGATGTCAATTTAAAAGCTTTCTCTTCGCATCCGACCAAAGTGTTAAGTTATTTAACATGATTAGTCAGTTGTATTTAACAATACATTATAATTTTTACAGCAATGCCTAAATAGGATACAACCCTCTCACACATGCTTTGCAAAGTTTTACCAGCATAGGTATTGCCAATTGGTAACAGACCACAAAGACGCTGATGCCAGGTATAAAATGCAGTCAATTTTGATTCACTCCAAACTAATAGCTATTAATTAAATTAATACATCCAGCAGCATGGCTGATTTTCCTCATTAGGCTCTCTGAGTGTTCGGCAATTATTTTTTCTGGCTTTATGTGCCAAAAACTCATCAAAGATTGACCCAGTCGTATCTGTCTGGCTAAAAAAGTCCATTGTTTTACCAAACAGACATTCAAAGGGAACGCTGCTCTTACTTCCAAAGTTGGGGTAGGTGAGGTATCTGGACTCTCTGGAGTTGAACAGAGTCCAACATGACACACATGGTGAATTGAGAAAGGATCTCCAAGAAAATATTCCATAGTATTGGTTCTTCAGTGGGATCTTGAGCGATAGGCATGTCACTAAGGATTGGGATTCGTCCCACTGAAATTCTGATAACCCTGCAAGTCAATAGCTTAACAAGCACAGAGATTCTAGATGAATAAACAGTGGGAAAATCACCAGTGCCTCAAATTATCGTTTTATCTGGTTAAATTCCTATAGTTCCTGCAGTGCCTGTAATGTGTTAGTTTTTTATATTCTAAAACTGTGTTCTCCAGGTACAGATAACAGGACATAAGATGTTTCTGCTAGTTTTGGTAGAAACTAATACTCTTAATACGCATGATAAGGAGTTCCAGAGTAACAAATAAAACTCATTTCAGCTGAGTTTCCAAATATAAAAGAGTTCTAGCTCGACAAACAATTGCATAGCACACAGCCATCGTGGATTCAGTGACCAAATTGTTATTTTATTGACTTACTTCCATTCCTTCAAATGGAGGTGGGTCCTTGGGTTTGCTTGACTTCTTTTCTTTCTTTTCTGAAATTGAAAAACAAAATTCAGTGCTTCTTGGGGTGAAAGAAATGGATATCTGAAATGAATTCCCACCCTGCCCCCCAACTGACTGACCCTCTTCCTTACAAGCATATATAACCCAACGGCTCAAACTATGAGTAACTGCTATCCTTTTTGTAGACATGGTCCCTGGTAAACAAGCACGTTGTGCTTAATGCAGCAAAAGTGCCCAATCTTGCATAGTGCACAACATAGTAAGCTGGGAATCCAATTACTGCAGCAATATAAGAGCATTATAATGAGGGTGAGGAGTGTCAATCACTTGATAAATTAATTTGGACCTATGCGTTATAAATTACATTCAAGTACTTCAAGCTAAACATATTAATTGATTACGACCAGCAAGCAACGTTTCTGACAACACACATTTCCATGTGCAGTTTGAAGTCATGTGAACTCGTATTCACTGCAATGGCCATCGGTTTTTACTCGTTTGCCTTAAGGTACGGTGGAAATACTAAAGTGAATTACAATCATTACCTGCGCCATCATTACACATTGAGAAATACCAGGCCACTTTCCACAGTGTTTCATGCTGAATGTGCCACCTTGTCTTAGTAAGTCAGCCAGTTACTTCAAACAAACAGCAGCTCATGTAAAAGCACAATTATGTAAATCGATCAGGCAGCTGCCATGCGTGCAAAACTAAATAGCGTCTAGTCAGTCTGCTTCAGCTGCAGTTTGGAAATATTAAAGAGAGGAGCTAAAGCACAGGCTTAAAAACTAAACTACTTTTGAAAGGAATTATACAAACCTCCAAGTTCCTTCTTAATGTTCCATTCAGTCCTTCTCCCCACTTAAAACAAAATACATAGTTTCAAAGCTAAAAGATTCCTTCTTGTAAACATCTTAAAATAAGGAAAAACGCTTAACTACATCACATCGCCTCACAATCCTTTTCCAACAGTCAGTATTTTGTTTTTCAAATTATTCTGGTTGCAAGTAGTAATTGGGGCCTCAGTTTGCAACGCTTTATAACAGGGTGGTTCAACCTTTTGGCTATTGAGGACTGGATGACAGATTTGAGAAACGTCCATGGACCACATAAACTTCCAGAAACATAGTCAGTAAGAATCATGCAGCAATCCTAGTTTTTAAATTGTGTGACTATTACTTAATTTCACTATATTTTAGTTACAATGATAACAGACAGCTCGGACAACAGGGGTTGGGGAACACAGGTAACGGAGCTGCGGGTACTAGGTGCAGAAATGGTTCATGGGCCGGATGCAATCATCTCCCTGGCTGGATGCAAGCCGCGGTCTGCCAGTTGGACCACCCTGCCTTAAAACCAGTACACACAGTTTTCAATTTGCTTTATAGCTGAGCTTCTCAGAGAGTGGCTCATGGGTGTCTTGGAACATTAACGCATCTTGGTGAAGTTAGCCATCTAATGACATCCTATATCAGTTTACAATTTCAGTTCAGTAGTCAGTGTTGAGCAGAAGCAATAAGCCTCTCTATTAGGAGGTACAGTAGGATACCATATGCCATCAACAAACACTCATACCTACTAGCAAGTTTGAAAAAAAAGTCTTAAAGTAGGCTACTTGTTCATCCATTCAGCCAGCCAAAGAATTAGGAGAGAAAAGGGAGAAGTGAAAGAAAGACAATGTGGAAATGGGCACGTACAGACAGACTTAAAAATCTAAGCACTAAGAGATTAGGTCCTTAGAATAAATAAATGTATATGAGTGAGCTAAACGCCAGTTAAGCTTAGTGATTTCTTCAAGATTAGTTACTGTTCCGAGCCAGTTTCCACGAGCACTCACATTTCACACAAACAGAAGCTGATATGAACAAAGATGATGTTAAGATCTATCAATCTTTAAGAACAGCATTGTGGCTTCCACATATTGATATAACAAGCTAGATTTTAAATCTCTTCTATTGAATAAAAAGCAGAAGTTGCAATATTTTGCAAATCACTGTCTAATAATACAGTAGTATTGTGTTTCTTATGTTAATGTCAGTGCAGAATGTGAGCCGGTTAATTACCTGAACCACTGATCTGATAATAAATCAACAGTCGTGCAGACTGGTTCTTACCTCTTCCTGGAGGACTCTCCCTGCGATTCTGAAGATAATAAAGAAGCTGCTCCACCTCGGCAAGTTTACTCGGATGGATGAGTTTGCATTCCTCAACCACCTTCCGTGCCAGAGACCCAATGTCTGTGTTAGAATTCAGGCTCTTCAGGCGAATACTGAAACAGTGCATCACATTTTACTCAGCTTTTTTTGATCAGGAAAAAGGGGCAATATATTGAACATTGGTAAGGTTCACCAAGTTGACAGTAGAACCTGCAGGCAGCTTGTGAGTTGTGCTTTCTCTTAACATACTTAGAGAACTACAACATTTGGGGGAGGGGGGTTTGCTATTGCCATAGTTTGGTTCTCAGTAGTGAATAATTCTAGTTTCATTAAGGATCATTACCGACAAGATATTTATGTACAATAGCAATCCACCTTCCCTGAAGTAAAAAGATATTTTGAAAGAGTGAAAATAAAAGAATGTCAAGGAATACACTTTAAACAACACCAATAGACTGATTCCACTTACACCAATGTTACAGATTCCCTTCAATCCCCACATCAATTCCCTTAATATCATTCATTGTCTTGAATTCAATGGAAAGGCAGTAGAGCTCGTATTCTGGAATGATGAGATCAAATGGACCAAAGCATGTTTTTTGTCTATACTTCTCTCGTGACCTTGTGAAAGTGTTGAGTATTAGTTTAAAAATTAGTCATTTTTGAAATGATCTCCATTGTGCTGTGTTCTCCTGTACCGATTGGCATATCAGTGATTAGCAAATCAAAACGTCTTGTATTTTAAGTTGATTATCTATAAGAGTAATCCCTGAAAATTACTATATCGCAGTTATGACCTCTTGTAAGTGCATGTCTAGATGCATCTTTGATACTTCATGTTGGAGGAAGAATAATGGTGAAAATAATTTGGTCTTCAAGATATAGTTATCAAACTAAAGTCTTCAGAGAACATCACAAGAATGAAGCACTGAAATTGAATGGAAAATGTTTGCTTATCCAACGGAAAGAATTCTTTTCTATTACACAACCAGGATGCACTTAAACATGTTTTTCTAACTTTCAGGATATTCAACTCAGCTTGCCATTTACGTCAAAGCATAATTTTATACCACCTGTTAAAATACACCAAACATCCCTGCATCTTAATTGAGGTTTTCAAAAATTACAAATAAAAAAAATTGTACCTTTGAAGTCAAATAGCATCCCAACAACTAGCTACTGTACTCTGAGTGGGTAAATGCGAGACTGAAGGCCTTGATGATTGCCAACATATGAAGGTGGTCAGGACCTCAAACCTAGGGTTACCATCCCATCATATGGCCACTTACTACATCTTACGGTAGATGGCATGAGCTCATTGTGTAATGTGGATTATGTAGTTGTGCAGAGGACATTCTACTCAAAGCATATGCTCTTTGCTAGCCTGTTTTTATCCAAATTGCATTCTGCACTGTACTGTTCATCCACGTCCATACATCAGCTCAGGATTCCATTTCAATCTCTCACTCAGTTTCTTCCCCATAGACAATCTCGTGAATTCATTCAACCCTATTTGAATTCTATTCTGCATTCAGCAACTGGCTTAAGTTCACATGTCCTCAGTGAACAATCTTCACAAGCACAAAATGCACAAACAATCCACTTTACAATATATTCTGTGAAACACTTTGAGATGTTTCAACGACGTGATAAGGTGCTATATCAAATGCAAGGATTATTATTAATCATTAAAAGATTTGCAAACACCAGTGACCGCCTCTCACCTTCAAAGTGTCAAATTTGAAGTGACTACTCAGAAAAAATGAACTTAGTACCTATTTCAGGATGATCAATAACAAAGTAAACCAGTTCCCAATGAGGGGATTTTATTAGGTCCATGCTGCTGTGGAATGAAATTAGAAAATAATCCATTGTTTCAGATTTGAAACTGCTATCAAATGTTCGACTTTTCCTCAAATATCAGAACTGACAAGGAACAAGATATTCTGCACAATATTAGATTTCTCTTCCACCTGCAAATAACTCCTATATATGTTGCAGACAAAGTCTAAAGTAAACTTAAAAACATGAGAAGGTTTACAGCACTTTATTAGTGTTATTTATTGAAACTGTAGAATGGTTCTACATTTTACATTTTGTATACAAACATTTCCCACTGTGTAAACCACAAAATGGTCAAGGTCAAGAGGTTTCAGTTTATAGGACTGCTTATAGGTGGAGGGTACCTGGTCTATTTGATTAGGTGCTGAGAGATGATGAGAGATTAATGGTATTAGATTAGCCCCATAAGACTTCTTTCTCTTATGATTAATCACCCTGATGTGGACAGAATGTTTCAGCAAAATAAGTTACACAGATTTACAAATACAGTATCAACCAACTGTGAAAGAACTCCCTGTGTTCATCTGTCAACAGCGAGTTAAGCTTTTACTTAAAGGCCCCTTGTGGTTGGTCAACAGTTCATTTCCTTCTGAACCCCTGAAGGATTCTAAAAGATTCTTTGAAAGATTTTCCTGCACTAAGAGGTGTGTGAGTATGTGTGTGTGTGTGCGTGCGTATGTGTTTGTGTATGTGTGTGAGATGCAATGCCGTTCCATTCCCACCCAGACTCACGCTCTTGTGAAGTGCTGGGTTTTGGTGCTGGGTCATCTGGGTACACTGCCTTTGCTGTTATGCATGGGTGTCCTTGTCCAGATATCTTAGCATGTGATTTTTGGGAAAAAAAGTCACAATCCCCACAAAAAATGCTCTACTTCCACCTTCCCACTCCTGCCCCCCCAACCCCCCTACTCCCACATTTACTAAAAATTTACTACAATTATTTTATACTATTTCCTCACGCCAAGCACAATTCCCAGAGCTGGAGTTGCAAATCTCACAACAACGCTGTCTCATTCCTTGCTGTAAGGCAGTGTTGCATGACAGCGGGTTGAGTTTGCTCAACCTCCAACTTTTTATTCCTTTCACTGGCGAAGCACGTCAATTCTGTTCTCTACCTTCCCAATATAGTCCATCTGAGATCATAATCTCAGTCAAGAAATAATAATAATCCTTGCATTTGATATAGCACCTTGTCATTTTGTCAAGTCTCAAAATGTTTCACAGAATGTACTGTAAAGTGAAATAACTGTATATTGTGTGGGTGAAACACAGCAGCTAATTCCACACAACAGTGTCTCACAAACAGTCGTGAATTGAGTGACCAAATTATTATTATTTCCCAAGTGTTTGAATGAGGATTTCGGCAGTATTTGTGCGAGATAGATGGGGGAAAAGGAAACCTGCCTAAGGTTCCAACCCACCCAGGAATTGAACCCGGTTCCTCTTGCTTGTGAGGCAAGTGCTTTAAGCAATACGCTACAGGAGACCACATAAATCAAAAACAACAACAGCTTGCACTTATCTGGTGCCCTCCACCCAGGGTAGCATCTCAAGAGTGCTTAACGTCTCAGTGTTAAATCATTGTAATACTGAATCATGTTTCATCCATTTTCCCTCTCATACTCTCCCTCCCTCCAGGAAAAACCTGGGGTGAGTGATGTGCTGGAAAGGAGAACAAAACCACAACTGTAAAGTTGTTAAGCCTATTTAACAACCACCCATGTCAGATAGTAATGAACAAGGGAAATCATACCATCTCGGCTGACACTCCAATGCAGTGCTGGGGGTGCGCTGATAAGATAAGACTTAACTGAGGCCCCATCTACCTGCTCAGGTAAATGTTAAAGATTCCACGGCACTACTAATAAGAGGAGTTACTCCTGTGTTCTGACAAACAGTCCCCCAAATGTTCATTCACTTCTTGGCTTTTTGTGGGACATTGCTGCGTGCAAATTAGCTGCTGTGTTTGCCTATAACTACACTATACTTTGCAGAAATCCTGTGAAGCAATTTGAGATGAGATGTCCTTCTGACGTGCTAGCAAATCTGGGGATTATTGTTTATTATCAAATATTCCACAATGGTAATTAAAGGCAGCGCATCATTGTTTTTAAAAAAACAGTGTAGGAACCAGAACATTTCATGAAATAGCCAATTGCCAAAAATAATCTAAATTCTCAACGCTGAATATCTTTCGAGTAGAAGAAGATAGTAGGGACAGGTCCTGTACAATTTAGCAAAAGGAAACAGGCTTAAACTTGGTGACATGGTAATTTCAACTCTTCATTACATCCCTTCCCAATTTACACAGCATAATAGAGCAACGTTAAAGCTAGCCCATTATAACATATGTTAACTGTTCGAAATACATCCCCTCTCAAAGTTCAATGAGTTGTGAAAACTTGGTATAATCATACTGATTTGAATTGAACTCTATTGACAGACCTACCACAAGACATAGGGAAATTTCAGAACAACATTTAGTTAGCACTCTGGGATGTTAAACACTTAGGTTAAACAAATAAGAATGTTTTAATTTAAATGTCAAAAGTGGCATTATATTATTGTAATACATTACTGTATCCATAAATACAATCAATGGCTTTACAAAAAACTGTGAATCGCACTGAGACATCGATACAAGCTGCTACCCCAAAACTAGGACTATTTATTAATATTAAACCTATAGCACAAAATAGCTTGCATTTCAAAGATTTCCCTTCTGCTTGTCCTACCTTCCTTACCCTGACTCATTCCTATTTAAATATTTCTAAAATACTCTAATCTATATTAATTTGTAAAAAAAATCCTCTTTCCTAAAAGTTTTTTTATTTACATCATTTTTTCTTTCTCTTAGGCACACAAGTCTCAACTTTTAAGACCAATTGGCCTCAGATGATTTCAAAGCATGCTCCATTGGCTTATTTTCAGCTGGTCTAGGCCAGGAACAGACTTACAACCAACCACTTGTCAAATTATCTTGCTGGACACCAGGCAACGAGAATGTAATAATAATAATCCATTGAGATGTCTCAAAGGGCTTCACAGAATATAGTGTAAAGTAAATCTACTGTATATTTTGTGGGCGAATTGCAGCAGTCAATTGCTCACAGCAGTGTCCCAGAAACAGTCGTGGACTGAGTGACCAAATTTATAATTTTTTGTTGTTGTTGGAGGGATTATTACCCCCGGAAAGCCTAGGTAACACCTTCTAAACATTCACAAAATTTCATAAATTTGAACATGAATACTTATATAATATATAATATTATATATTAATACTTGTCCAAAAAGATAACATTGCCCCAGGATGTAGGGTGGCACACAATTACTACACTGAAATGGACTTCAACCCCATTGTATCACACTGATCAGAGGCAGCTTTCATTTAATAAAAAATTGCTTGGTCTGGAATGTGGATTTGAAAAGCTAACCAGCCCCCAATGGCTGCCAGTCAAGCCCGCAGCCACTAGGTTAATTGGACAACCTAATATTAAAGAGAAGCCCTTTACTTTAACACAATTAGCTGAGGCAAAAAGGTACAAAAACAAAGAAGAACTCTGACTTCCAGAAATCAGATTCATTATTATGTTCAAAATCAACTCGGTTAAGAACATATGTACTGTTAAAATTAAAATCGGGTTCGTCCTGGTCACTGTGGCTCAAACTCCTTAAGGAAGTCCTTGATCTTTCAGACCTAATAAATCTGATGGCAGGGGAAGACAATGTCTCCTTTGTGATACCACTTCAACTCAATTAGCATTAATAAAGAAATGTCTGTACGCGCTGCGTTTGTTAGCCCGGAGGGTTATTCTGTATTAGAACATTAACGGAGCCAGCCAACTTCCTTCACTCTTACCAAATGTTACCAGAAACCTATGTCAGAAGCCAGGCATGCCAGTAGCAAGAAGTAAAGCAGAATATCTGGAAAGCGGTCTTTCAGCAATGAACAAAGCTTTTGTATATATTCTTTTAAAAATATATATATTAATACTGTATATAATAGATTGTGGTATCCAGCTGGCAACAGCAACAACAAAGTAATAATTACATTAGATCTATAATAATAATCCTTGCATTTATTTTATTTATTTATTTATTTAAGACATTTCAAAGCCTTCCAAAAATATATTTCTCAAAGCACCTCACAGAATATATTTCACAGTAAAGTGGAGAGACTGTATTTATGGGCAAAACACGGCAGCCAATTTATGGGCAAAACACGGCAGCACAAAACAAATTACTAGATATTAAAAATCTAGCACCTTTCACATTATTGAGACGTTTCAAAGTACTTCATAGTATTTACTAATAGTGCAGTGACTGTGCATTTTGTAGGCAGATGCCTATATTTAATGCTTCCACCAAAAAAGGTCCCTTAAAAAAGAACATACAATTCCAATAGAGTACAAGAGTTACAATGAACATGGGCCCTGCTTGCAATTTAAGCATATTTCCCTGAAACTGCTACGGGTCAGGGACCAGATATGATGCAGCCCACAAGAGTAGATGCTGTGACCACAATGTTTAAGTTTGATTTGGGGCTCTGGCCACATCAAACACAAGAGCCACATCTGCTGTCGGTCATACATGCATTAACACTCAACTTTGTGAGTTTTCAAAGAGTATTTATATTGAGGTTTTTTCTAAAAAAAACTTCACTGAATATAAACAGCTCATCAAAGCACTGTACAGAGTCAACACAATCACTTAGTATCAAAACAGTGAGCGACAGTACAAAAATAATTTCACTTTATCAAATGGTTAAAGCAAAAATCGAGTAATCAACGGGTTTCCGAGATCCATAAACTCAAAGTTACAATTAACACAACAAATCTGAGACCTGAAATTCGTGATGATCTTAGCCTCAAGACCACTATCTTAATATTTACATCTGTGCAGCATTTTGGAAAAATCTTATGTGCATTTTTAAATTGTGGTTAACTGCAGTTCTTTTTAATAAAACTGCCAAAAACTTGTTTCAAAATTATGACTAAATTTTTATTTTTTTCCCAAATTTTGCTTAGTCTTAGATTTAAGATCATGGTCTCAAAATGTAAGACAAAAAAGATCATCAAGCCTCTGATTTGCAAATATCAGCAACTGGATCCCATTATTGGCAAAAAAAAGTCCTCCTTCAGAAAGAAAAGCAAAATAGCAAACAAAGCCATTACTCCATCAAGCCTGCTCCTTCCAGAGATCAGGCACGATCTGCCCTACATGCTTAATTTCTCCCCAACTAGCAAAAGGTTATGCTAAAATAGACATCAATTCTTCATCTCGCGCTTTTCAAAAATGAAGTTTCCATGATCCCAGAGGACAATGTTAATTGTCATGTTCTGATGGCATTTTCTGATCATTTTATCAAAAGGGAATTGGATATATACTATCGGAAAAGAGTGGGACTAATTGGATAGCTCTTTCAAAGAGGCAGCACAAGCACAATGGGCCAAATGGCCTCCTTGTGAGCTGTAGGATTCTATGATTTCCATCTACACTAAGAATCAGTACTAACAACATCCCATGAACACAAGGCATGCATTTCTGGAGAGGAAAACAGGAAAAAAAAGTACTGTTCTGTGTTAAGCACGGATAATGAATTTCATCCTAGAATCCAGGAGAATTTTCATTGGAAAGAAGATTATCTTTCTTTACTTATGGACTTTAAATTGACAGGATATGGAGAAACCACCATTCACTTTGCACTTCATTTGACATTTTCCTCTTTTTTGAGGGACTTGTTCGATATAGTAAAAAAACAGCATTCCTGTTTGTCCCTCAGTTAATAAAATAAATGGTGAAGAAATACTGTAGGTACTAGAGCAAACAGACAACCATCATGGCCTTTACTCACATTTTCTGACACTCCTTTCGCTCTCCCAGCATGGCATCACCCATCTCACCCAAAATTGTAGCTTCCACCTCATAGTGTACCACCAGAGCCTTCTCTGTTGGATGGACATCGATGTTCCCTCCTTTCACTTTTCTAAGAAGAAATTTAAAAAGTGGCATTATAAAAAGATCCCTTAAAAAANTGTGTTTACTCAATTCACAACTGTTTGTGGGACACTGCCTATGCACAATTGGCTGCCGCTTTTCGCCTACAAAATACACAGTCAATTCACTTTGCAATATATTCTGTGAAGCGCTTTGAGATGTCTCAATGACGTGATAAGGCACCATATCAAATGCAAGGATTATTATTAGCAATTTAAATCATAGAGAACTAAATCAAATATTTGGTGTACAAAAAGCTCAATATTGCCCAACATTGTAAGGACATAATTAGCTTGCTGTTCGTTACCAGGAAATAATATTGCTAATAAACTCCCAACAATTTACATTTATAAAGCACACTTCACGTTGCGAAGACCTCCCAAGGCTCTGAAATGAAAGATAAACGGGAGCGATTACAAAGTACTGTGGTAATCTTATTGAGTTTATTGGACATCAAATCACATCAAACTTCCATCAATGATTGTTTCAGTTGGTTTCTTGCCTGGAATAAATCAAAGAGTAAAAATGTAGCCATTTTTTTACTGTAGCTTGATGGCTTCCTCCTTTATTGCAATTTCTACAATTCTGATCAAATGGAAAAGGCTAGAAAATGCACAGTAAGTTGATTAATACCTGGCTGGTTATAGTTTTAAGTGATAACCTTCACCATACCTACAATGAAAGGTAGTTTCCCAAACTAATGCTTCCTGTTCGGTATAACAGATCATGGTTTAAGTGATAACCTTCACCATACCTACAATGAAAGGTAGTTTCCCAAACTAATGCTTCCTGTTCGGTATAACAGATCATGGTTTATGGTGTCCAGCGCCTTGACACATCCTCCTGATGTGAAAGGTGTTGTACAAATGTAATTTGTTATTGTTGTTGTCACAGTGCATTCACAATGCTGGATGGTCCACCTGAACAGGAACCTTGGTTTACCATCTCATCCAAAGGATGAGGCGTCTAAAAATGTAGCACAGCCCCAACACTGCATTGAACTATATCAGTCTAGATTATATGAGTTCCAAGTCCTGATTTAGGACTTGAACCCACAACCTTCTGACCCTTGGTTACCAATTGAGCTAGGCTGATACGCTTAGGACACTGAATAGGATACTTGTCAGCGACACGATTACACACACCCTCAAGATTTAAAAACAACAAGCTTCTAAAATTTTTATTCTGTTATAGTTTCGACTTCACCTCAAGTAATGGACAGCAAACAGTCAAAAACATAGGAATCACAACACATTGTTGACAAAGTGCTTCCTCCAGCCCTATAAATGCTTCAGCTAGTCAGCTATTAATTCAGTGTACAGGAGCCATTTTACTGCCTTATGCATGCTGGGATTTCACAGTCATTACTTAAAAGAAGTCTCAATCATCACAGCTTTAGTTTTAAAAAAAATAAAAATTAGTTTCCCTGCCATTCTTGAAGGATCTTTAGAACCAGCAGCTGGATACTATAAATGGGGAAGGTTGCCGACTTACCAGCTGGAAAAGGTAAAAGGCAGTTAAGATGTCAAATAAGAAGGGGGAAGTGGACGAAGAAGGCAGGGCATTAATGGGGTCTATCGGGATTATAAGACCTTACACAAATCGGGTGTGGTCTACCAGAATGAGAACGATACCTCCTAAAACCATACCTCTCCAAATGTGTCTTTGGTCAACGACCTTAAATCTTCTATTTGCTGCTCCATGACCACCACTATATTTGGCAAGCACTTTGCAATCCTACTTTACATGATATATGCGGGTTTTATTGTTGAAAATAAAAGCTTTTTCCATGCTATTTAGAATGTCTGTACATTTGGGATGTACGGATGGATGGATCAAAGGTGCCATGGACCAATTGATAGTGTAGCTGGGAAAACTCCAGCTACCGTCCGGTATCTGATTCCGTTTTGTAGTACAATGGATGAGGTAGCAGACCCTTGGTTTAGAAAGCAGACCAGGAAGGCACTGATAAGGTGGAATTCCACGACAATTTAGTACCTCTTTATCCCACTCCCCCCGCACCCCCCCCCCCCCCCCAACATACACACATGCACGCACACACACACACACACACACACTCCGCCCTCAGCTCCAGTGCCCAGACGGAATTGTCAGGCTCATTGGGACGTTCTCCCGACAAGAGAGGCGCTAAGTCTAGATCAGGTAGATTTTAAGAGTCGATGCTCAGCACATACTCTAAGGAATGTAGAGTTTCTCATTCACAAGCGACATACAACAAATTACATTTGTATAGCGCCTTTCACATTAGGATTTCCTAAGGTGCTGGACAGTCAAGATTTGTACCCGAGCTGGGGATTGTGATTTAGAAAGGGTGGAAGGCAGGGAGGGTGGGGGTAGGAGGATGACCGAAGGCATGGTTGAAGAGGAAGGTCTTGAAACAGGCCTCGAAGGAGGAAGCGAGGCAAAGGGACTAATTTCCACAGAAATGTCCCAATGAATTTTATTTGGCTGCAATCTTAGTTTAAAAGGCCTTAGCTCTGGTGCCTTGAATTAATTATCCCTTATTGTGGGCAAATGTTTCTTCAATAAAAACAGAAACAAAATAATTCAGTGATGAGAAGCCCATCCGTTACAAAGAATGAACTACAACTGCAAATGGTTGCAAGGTTAGCCTGACAAAGCCTTTTTTCCCCTGGTATGAGCCTTGGATTACAGAGAGTTAAAGCTATAAAGAAAAATGACCTTGTCATTGAGGAACAAAGGGCCTGTGGATGAGGGTGGCAGCAAACATCAAATGTTACTGGCACATTTTACAGTGACATGGAAATTCATCGAGTAGTAATATATCAAGGACTCCTTATATGACTGAGAATCCAGTTTTTTTTAGTCTGATGCTTTACAGATAACAGTTTTTACAAAAAAATCACCTTTGCTACCCTTCCTGATATTGCAGAAATGTGCTTGCGCACCCCAGTGAGACATTTTTGACAGTAAATGATCCGCCACAAAACATACCTCAACCTGTATTCCATTTCAGACCTGCGGCCGGATTCTTAGCCCACAATCAACATCCTGCGTGAACAAGCTCTCAGCTGAATGCTCAGTGATAGCTGCAGCATCATCTTTGCTGCAAGTTCCTTATTGGACTGGAGCTCCAAACAGGCTGTACCCTGCAGTCCCCAGTGAATTGGCCTACTAATGCAATATACTGAAGACATTTACTACTGTACTGAAGAGATTTTAATCAGGAAAACACAGCATGAAGAGTAACTTCCAAATCAACCATGAATGGCTCAAACCCTTTTTAAAAATCTTTGATATACTAACATTTCCAAAACACCTGCAATATATATGCAATACATATGCCTCTCCACATATAGCCATAACCAATTTGTTCAGTTTGATTATTGTAGCACCATCCAAGTCAACGCTAATGTATTATTTTGTTCTGTCTTATTTTAAAAACTATGCTCAGAAAATGATTACCAAGATGCCAAGAATAATCTCAGTATTTTGGGGAGTCACACAAAGGAAATACAGTTTAGTATTCTTCCTAAAAACAAACGCAAAAAGTGATGAGGGAGGGTGAGGGGCAATATTAGTTACTGGAATAGTTGCCTCCTACAGTGAAAGGAAACATTATCTGAAATGTACAAGGAATTTTAAACAAAGCTAAATGCTCCTTAGACAATGCTATAGGGTTTCAAGAAAGATTTTCTATTTGAAACAACAACTTGCATTTATATAACACCCTTCAAGCAGGATAGTATCCCAGAGTACTTGTCAGTGGCGGAGCACAACACCAAGCCGGCGGGAGGTGACCAGGGTCGAAGAGAAAGGTCTTCCTCCATTAAAACCATTAGCTAATAGCTAGTGATCTGACAGTTCAACCTGGATTTGGGCATTTCTTGCTCATCCAGAGTCGCTCCTCCCTGCTCAATGTCTACCATACACATGGTAATATTCTCTCATTAATAGTATGCTGTAGAAACCTAGCTTCATTAAATCAATTGCTTATTCTGGTTTCAATTCCTTTTAAACTTTTTTCTGCACAGATGAATAACATTTGCAGTACAAAAACAAGAGAAATGTTTTTTCAAAACATAACAAGTAAGTAGGGGGTTACAATTAAGGCCTCATGATACGCATGATTAGTGATATCCTAGAACTAAGTATCATTTGAGTACAGCATAGTGTAACCATTTGAAAATGAACTATAGCACTTCATAATCAATGCTGAAAGTTCTCAATAGGCTCACACGCCCTGCTGATCGTAGAAATCTTTGCAACACAAAAGAAATGGACCCACCGTACAGGAACAACAGATGATTGAAGTTAGAATCACAATAATCCTTGCATTTGATATAGCTCCTTATCACGTCATTGTCCTCCCACCTCAACCTTCAAGGCCCTGTCCTTGAGTGGTTTAGGTCCTACCTCTCCCACCGTCTTCATTTTGTTTCCACAAATGGCTTTTCCTCCACCCCCCGCACTGTCTCGTGCGGTGTCCCTCAGGGCTCTGTCCTCGGTCCCCTCCTCTTCACCCTCTATGTGCTCCCCCTTGGTAACATCATCCGCAGACATGGGGTTAACTTCCACATGTATGCGGATGACAGCCAACTCTACCTTTCCTCCTCTACCCTCAACTCCACGACCACCGATGTCCTGACAGCCTACCTGTCTGACATTGAGTCCTGGACGAGATATAACTTTCTCCAGCTCAACGTGCGCAAAACTGAGGCCCTCCTGATTGGCTCACGTCAGCGCCTCCGCACCTCTGGCGCTGACAGCATCAGCATCCAAGGCTGCACTCTCCACCTCTCAAAGCCGGTCAGGAACCTCGGTGTTCTGTTCGACCCTGAGCTGTCCTTTCTTCCTCATATCCGCGCCACAACTGGCACCGCCTTCCATCACCTCCGAAATATCGCCAGACTACGGCACTACCTCACCCCTCACGCTGCTGAAACTCTGGTCCACACCTTTATCACCTCAAGGCTGGACTATGGGAACTCTCTCCTCGCCGGCCTTCCCGCCACCTCCCTCCACACTGCAGGTCATTCAGAACTCTGCAGCTCGTGTACTGTCCCGCACCAGTCACCGCGACCACATCACTCCCACCCTCGCTCGCCTCCACTGGCTCCCCATCCCCCAGAGGATCGAATTCAAGATCCTCATCCTCACCTACAAGGCCATTCACGTCCTTGCTCCCTCCTACCTCTCCGACCTACTATCCCCCTACCTACCTGCCCGTACCCTCCGTTCCTCTGGCTCCGGTCTGCTCCACATCCCCCGCCCCAACCGCCCTACCATCGGTGGCCGGGCCTTCAGCCAATCAGCCTCTAAGCTCTGGAACTCTATCCCCCAGTGCCTTTGCCGCTTCCTCCCTTTCCTCCTTCAAGGCCGGTCTCAAGACCTTTCTCTTTAACCGTGCCTTCAGCTCCCCTCTCGACTCTCTACCCCTCCTCGCTCCCTCCCTTCACCCTGACCATTTCCCCCCTGCTCGGGTCCTGACCCAACGGTACAGCGCCTTGGGACGTCCTCCTGACGTGAAAGGCGCTCTATAAATGGAATCTTGTTGTTGTTGTTGAAACGTCTTAAAAGTGCTTCACAGAATGTAAAGTGAATTGACTGCATATTTTGTGGAGGAAACACAGCAGCCAATTACAACAAGCAGTGTGCCCAAATAGTCATGGATTGAGTGACCAATTATTATTTTATTTTTGAAGGGTTTATTATCCCTGGGAAGCGATCTGCCAATCGACTAGCAACCAGGTTCCTACTTGTTGCTAGGTAAACAGAGGCATGTGAAGTAAGGAAACTTGCCTAAGGTTTTGCCCTGCCCAGGAATCAAGCACGAGTCCTCTCGCTTGCACTCAAGGTGAGTTCTCCAACCAACACCCTACAGGACTCCACATCTACCTCTTAGCAGGTTTTCCTTTTTCAAGGACCTAAAGTTCAGATTTGTTATGAGCATTTCTATGCGCAATGCAGATTTTTTTTCAATCAGAAGAAAGTGTTTCATTTTTTGTTAGGGTAATACTAAGAAAATCCAGGGGAGAGTGACTTTATCCAGGTTTCAAAATAGTGCTCTACAAGCGGATAAGAAGCAGTATGTTGTAACCGAGCGTGCAGGATAACAGAGAGCTCAAGTGCTCAGGATTTATTTTGGGACCTTTCGCAAATTGGAACTCTTCTCTCAAGTCCTAAAAGTGTACTGAACTGCAAGATCTCCTGGAATGCAGTCAAAGCAAATTAAACAAAATTGGACTATATTCACATAGTGCAATTAATTGGGATTTCTGGGATAATTTAACTGTTTGCGATATTCATTCCATTAATGAATATTTTCCCCAGGTGATACGTCGAGAGGAAGGAATTATTTTTGAATTTGTATCAAAAGTTGTGGTTGTATGAAATGAATTTGTTTTGACAAGAGATCAAAGGAGAAATCACAAAAGCAGGTCACAACCTGAAGCTTTAGACTATCTTTCTCCTTCAGATACCGATAGATCTGCTGAACATTTCTTCTGGCTTTATGTTAAATGTATCACTTGGAACAGTGCTAAGCTGAGTTGAGATCAAACTACAAATGAAATAATTTGACTGGTAGAAAACAAATATTTTCTTTTCAAAGGAATCAAATATCTATAGCTTGAAGAAATGTTTGAGAGTATTATACTAAATATTATCAACACTCATCTGAAGAGCTTAGAGGCGGTTAAGAAGTACCAAATTTAGAAGCAATAGATCAACCTCTCACAAATCTGCAGAATGTTTTGAGGACCTAAGCAACTAAATGAGGATGTAATTGGATCCAGTGGATATAATTTACTTGGATTGAAAGCATAAGACAAAATTCCATAAGTCGTCTAAAGGTAGTAGTGGTAATTGTGCTGGGTAGATTGAAAACTGGCTTAAGCTTCAGCCAAGCAAATGGAAAAACACAATCGGACAAGTTAATGTATAGTTAATAACACTCTCAAACCACACTCTTCAACCTTGCTTTCGGTCACCTCTCTCTCACCACCTTTCTGGCTTGACTTCAAGCCCACGCTGCTGTTAAGTGCTCCAAGAAGCTACCCGTGTAAAGTTGCAATATAATGCAAGTTGTTGTTGTTATTTATTGCCTGAACAGAATGAACTTAATGGATAAAATGTCCTCTCATTTGTGTTCTTACGATACAAGGCAATTTCTTCCCAACTCTGTGCATATCTTTCCCCTCTCCCGTTCTGCCTAGAGGGAAAAGACAGTTGGGTAGTTGTTTAGACAGAACTCAACACACACAAACCGCATAAAGTTAAGAAAACATTCCATTCTCTTACAATTTCTCGTAGGGACAAGCTTGATGGTTGGTCTTGTAAGCCTACTACTTTTCAGTGATCTTTCCAATCTCCACAAATCCGTGGTAAAAGATAATTGCTTGTAAAACACTGAGCTATCATTCAAAATAATGCATTTCATTTTCCACTGCCCAATATGCTCTCCTGTATGAAGGGCACTAAACAAATAATAATAATAATAATCCTTGCATTTGATATAGCGCTTTTCACGTCGGGAGGACGTCCCAAAGCGCTTCACAGAACACACTGTAAAGTGAATTGACTGTATATTTGTGGGCGAACGCGGCAGCCAATTGCGCACAGCAATGTCCCACAAACAGTCGTAGATTGAAAATGACCAATTTATTATTGTTTTGGGTTTTTGGAGGGATTATTATTAGGCGTGTGGAGTAAGGAAACTTGCCCAAGTTTTCGCCCTGCCGGGAATTGAACTCAGGTCTCTCGCTTGCAAAGCGAGTGCTCTAACCACTGAGCTACAGGACTCCAACTGCAAGTTATTGCAGTTGTTAGAAAAAATATAACAAAACACATTCCTGAACAAATCATGCAAAACCTGCCCTGATTACATAGAATATGTGACCAGAGTTAAAGATCAGTGGAATTCATTTGCCACCATTCTGGAATCATATTAGTTCTAGATCAAAGTAGAACTCCATCCCAGTTACTCCCCCTCGCCTCATCCCTTGCCTCCTTCAGCACCCATCTCAAGACCCTCATCTTCCACCATGCCTTCAGTCACCCTCCTAACCCTAACCTCCCTCCACCCCTCCTGATCTCAACC